GCTGGCGCTTTCTTGGGTGCGTCAGCTTTGCAACATCTTGCTGAGGTGGGCTGAGCTGGGCTGGGCGGGGCTGGGCTGGGCTGGGCTGGGCTGGGCTGGGCTGGGGCAGCTGAGGCTTCCAGGGGCAGCTACAGCTTCATGCACTGTGCTCAGGGGTCCCAGAGCCGCAATGTGCCAAGAAGCCATCAAGCTGCAGCACGGCAAGCAACCCTAGAGCCACACAGTTCTGGGGCTGCTTGCCACCCTACAAGGCAGGGTGCAGGGTGGCCAAAAGGGCAGAGATTGGGGGGGAGGAAAGGGCAGAGGCAATTGTGGGGAGTTGAAGGGGAAGCAGTCCCTTACCTTGGAAGAACCGAGGCTCGGGGCTGGGAGGGACCAAGCCCGGAAGGGCTAGGATTCAGACAGGTCCCTGGCTAACCACTGGTGGAATCCATTTAACAATGGCATTGGGGAATGCCGGGATTGCCATTGCTAAGTGATGTGGTCACATGACATCACACTTTATGACCACATCGCTTAGCAATGGAAATTCCAGTCCTAATTGTGGTCGTAAGTTAAGAACTATCTGTAACTGGATTCCAAAAACTGATCAAACTGGTCTTAGCAGGAAGACTATTCCATAGGGCATAGACTGTTGCCAAAAATCAGTTTCAGATTCCTTTTGCCTATACCTTATGGAAATTAGCATCTACCAGTAATTTGTTCTCTGAAAAGCATATTGGTCAGGTTAATTCCAGTTGAAAAAGGCAGTCCTGAAGGTACCTGGGAACCAAGCTATATAGGGCTTTATAGGTTAAAACCAGCAGCTTGAATAGTTCATGGAAACCTACTGGAAGCATTATTCAGCAAGGTGCTATTTATATCACTGCAGTTCTATGTAAAGTAACTTTATTTTCTATTGAAGTAAGCAATCTACTGATTGAGGCATACCCCTGCTCCAGAATGTTGATGGGCAGATAAAGTGAACTTTTTGCTTCATTTTCTTATACATTTACTCACACCCAAACTAGTATGAAGTGCTAGCTCATTTTGGGCCCTCCTTAGACTACAAAGCCTTTAAGATATTGTTAAGGCTTTATCAGTGTTTGCAAAGGATTAGGTAAGTTAATAGGTATATCTGTTACTAAAGTTTATTCATTTACTAATAGAACGTGGCAATAATGATTTTGGAACAGTAAAACGTGCTCATCAGGGTGCACAAATATTTCTTACAGAAGCAAAAAACAGCGAGTTAACATTTGAAATTAAAAGGATATAATTAAAGATATAGGCTTCCATATAAGAACAAAAGTACTTTTATAATTTTGAAGGGCCAGAGAGTCATCCATGTTGCTAAAATAGCTTTTAAGATTCCCATTTACTTTCTGACAGAGGAGAGTGGAAACTGAACATAAGCTGAATTTATGGAATAAAATCACTTCCAAGTATTAAATTAAACCATGAATGCTTGCTTAATAAAACATAATGTTTTAAGGTGATTTCTGATAGTGGCTGATGTGGAGATATTGCTTCCAGATTTATTTGCTTGCTCATGCAAAGGGAGTAGTAACATTTCTGTTTGTATCAACATGCTACTTGTTCTCATGATGTTTTATTAAACTAAGATTCCAAACTTAGCATGTTATTAAACACAGCCTATACCTAGAAGAATCAGAGACTGATGCTCATTTGCATCCTCGTTAGTTTAAACTTGCATTTTTGACACTAATATTATGCTAAGAATGAAAAAAAAAAACCTGCTGAAAACCAATCTGAAGTCACTCCGTAGGTAGATGAAATCCTACAACTGGAACTCAGATCCAGTCAAGACTCAGATTTAGAACTCTAATATATTGTCACTATAGCATCTCTATGTATAATAACATCTGTCATCTACTACTTGACATAAAGATCTAAAAAGGTATACTGAAAACTGTGCAAGGGGGAAATATGATCTAAGCAGAATTTACAAGATTTTATTCCAAGCTCCCCAACCCCTAGATACCACACTTTTAACAAAATATGCTTCATCTCTGGGATGCATCATATGTTTTACTGGAAGTTGCAAAAAGTTTGATCATTGTATAAAAAAAAATTGATCACAGCCATTATATTATATTTATTGTCAGCCTGTATATTTTTATGGACATGCCTAATATCTAAGTAATAGCATTAAAAGAGAGAGAGAGAGAGAGAGAGAGAGAGAGAGAGCGCTCTTTTGGGCAATAGATACATTGCAAATTGAGAAATAAATAAGCAGACAACATCTTTATATCTCCATATCTTTCAAAAGATCAATTCCTAAAATCTGTTGTGAATATTTCCAAGCTCCAATAAACAAAAGACTTTTTGCTAACAAATAAAGAATAAGTACTGTTCTGTACACAGGTTAACAACTTGCTAATAATGTTGCATCAATGGGAGCTAATGGCAGTAATCATTCTCCTGATAACTAGCGTGGGAGAGTTCTTTTGATCTTTTTAAAATATAGGATTCGGCCTGGGCAGAGTAAGTTTTAAACAATTACATGTTGAATTTAGAGAATAAGAGTGTGAGCAGTAAACTGACCAAGGAGAAGCACTATGGGGTACAACCCAGATTCGGCTTTCTGCCCTGCAGACATGTTGTGTTGCCACCAGCAACCCTGATCACTATCTAGCCAATGGCCACACGCCTCACTCCTGGTGTGTTTAGGTGGCTGTTGCCTAATTTTAAGATCTTGTTTGCTTCTAGTCAGTTAGTTCAGGAGTAAGCAGAAGCACTGGGCCACTGGGCAAGATTGCCAGAATGTGCTAATCCATTTTTCACTGCACAAAGAGATGTCCGAGATGTCCAAGATTAAAAACCATCGAATATAAATAGCAGATTTATGACTTAAGATGCCTTTGGAGATCATAAAGCTCACTTTTGGCTGGTCAAACCCAAGGACCCCAAATCTGTTTCCATCTGTCAATTCATGAAAGAAAGAAAGAAAGAAAGAAAGAAAGAAAGAAAGAAAGAAAGACAGACAGACAGACAGGCTTGTCAGACTTTGCCAGCCCTCTGGCTCCGAGGATTACCAGTCAGAGACCAGTGGGGAGTGGCTATGGTAATGCCACGACTGCTGTCTTTTATCCTCCCCTGTGGGGGAGATGGCCAGCATATAAATTAAATAAATAAATAAACAAATTCAGGCTCTGTGAAGCTGTGTCCAGGAACTCCTACTGCAGCAAGTAGAAGACCAGAATTGCTTTTGATTTAAGAACCTAAGCCAAGATGCATTCAAATCCACAGAGAACCCTTTATGGACTCCAATGAATGCATCCAGGCTTACTGTTAGAAGCACATCCATGCTGGTGTCATGGAGTGTTTTCCAGTTTAGAAAATTCTGGGTAGATCACGTCTTAGCTTAGAAAATGCAGTTCAGGAAGGAGACATAACATATATGGTGTGGAAAATGTAGAGGCCTTTGGGTCAACTAACAATGCTTACCCCTTCATGGATCGCTGCCTTGTCGTGGCGAAGGGGCTTGGGTAACTCAGTGAAGCCATGAGCTATACCGTGCAGGGCCACCCAAGATGGACAGGTCATGACAGAGAGTTCTGACT